GCGCCCACACCGTCCACTGCCCTGCTGACACTGCGCCCCACCGTCCACCGCTCCACTGCTGCCCCTGCTGACACTGCGCCCACACTGCCCGTCCACTGCCCTGCTGACACTGCGCCCACACCGTCCACTGCCCTGCTGACACTGCGCCCACACCGTCCACTGCCCTGCTGACACTGCGCCCACACCGTCCACTGCCCTGCTGACACTGCGCCCCACCGTCCACTGCCCTGCTGACACTGCGCCCACACCGTCCACTGCCCTGCTGACACTGCGCCCACACCGTCCACTGCCCTGCTGACACTGCGCCCACATAGCCCTGCTGAACTGCGACCGTCCACTGCCCTGCTGACACTGCGCCCACACCACACTGCCCTGCTGACACTGCGCCCACTGCCCTGCTGACACTGCGCCCACACCGTCTACTGCCCTGCTGACACTGCGCCCATGCCCTACTGACACCGTCCACTTTTAAGATAGGCTAAGATATTTTTACAGTGACCTTTGCTTTAATATTTTTATCCTAAGCACTCCTATGTAGTTAGGGCTTGATAGTTTATGTGTTTGAAAAAAAAAAAAAAAAAAGGGGGGGGGGGTCGTGGGGGGGGGGGGGGGGGGGGGAGCATCAAACCCCAGTGATCCTTTATTTAGGTAGATCTCCACCTCCCAAAGGTTGTCTACCCTAGTCTGATGATAGCATAATATTAGGCATTGTGCACTCACCTAGCATGTGTATTAGAAGTAGACAGAGAGCTGTTTTTAAACAACAATCCAGAAATAAAATTACCAACCTGCCTTTTTTCCCAATACTACAATAGGCAGGCGGTTAATCTTCTGAAAACTGTCTTGGTTGTTTTTGGTGCTTTTCACATACGAATATTAATCACACTGAAAAAGTAATGCTCAATGTAACCACCCCCTTTAACACATTACCCAACTAATACACTTGACAAAATCAGTTTTTTTTTTTCTGGGGGGGGGGGGGGGTTGTTGGGAGGGTTTGGTACAAGATCAGAATTGCCTGCAGCAAATCAACTCCAAATTTACTGTTAACCTCCCTATATACTATTGCACAGTAGCAGAGAGGAAATAAAATGCATATACACAAGAAAAAAAAAAAAAAAAAAAAAAAACACTTTCCAAAAGATAAACTGGCTTTTATACATGTATTTCCATTGTGTATTGGATAGGGATGCACCAAATTTTGGCCACCGAAACACATCGGCCAAAAATAGCACTATCGCCATTTTGCCAATAGGAAAAATGTAGCCGATACAGGAGACTGTGTACTGCAGATGTGAGGGGAGCGGCTGAGAAAGGCAGGAGAGGAGCAGTGTATACAGTGACTGGCTGTCACTATATGTCAGTGCCAGTTTTTAGGTAATTATCGGCTTTTTTTTTTTTTTTTTCTTCACTATGGCTCACAGAATTAGCTGTTACTTTCCCCCCAGTAAGAAACAAAGTTTCCTTGGTTCATTTCCCTGAGTTTAACGAAACTAAGTTTCCTGTTAATTTACTTTCCAAGATAGTTTTTCTTTCGGTCCGGGGAAAGTGACAACTAATTCTGTGAGCTATAGTGAACAAAAAAAAAAAAAAAAAAAAGCCGCCAATTGCTTTTAAAAACTGGCACTGACATACAGCAACAGCCAGTTAGGGAGCCTCTGTATACACTACTCCCTCACTGTATACACTGCTTCTCTCCTGCCCCCTCCTTGCACACGCTGCACCCCCCCCCCCCCCACCCCCTCCCCCCTACAAAGAGGATCTGTCACTCATATTCTTGCACATAGGGGACTATTAGTCCCCTATGTGATAGCAATAAAATCATAAGTTAAAAAAAAATAATAAAGATAAATTTACATGAAAGTAGAAAAAAAAAAATACAAAAAAAAGAAAAAATAATTGGAGCCTCCCCACCCCCATATATGCAGACATTTTGGTTCGGTTTTCGGCCACATGCATTCTGACTTTTCAGTATTGGTTTCCGCACCAGAATTTTCATTTTGGTGCACCACTAGTATTGGCTGTAGTTGTCTTTGTTTACACAGGCTTCATCTTGTATAAGTGAAGTGTATGCAGGAAGATTTTGCAAAGCTTTAGCCAGCATCTTGTAGCTTTTTTGAAGCTTGCAATGTGTTTAACATGCTGGAACTGGAGAGAATGTTTGCTTTATAAGAATCTGTTTTTACTCCCTACGAATTGATCCAAATGGCAGAAAATCTGGCAGTCTCTAGGGAGACTCCTTGGGAGGGAACTGTCGGCCTAACTGAAAATCAGGAATGGGAGGAAGCACTAAAGGCCCATAAAATAATTTATCTTAAAATGTCAGATAAACTCATACATATGTATACCCTCTTGGGACTTCTTTAAAGTGTTACTAACCCCACAAAAGTAACACCAGTCTGTATATGCAGTAAAGCATGCTTGCTATACTCACTGTGGAACCTAAGTGGCTAAAACTGCATTGTGTAAAAAAAGCGGTTTGATCCTGACTTCTCTGATCCCCCTTCTTCCAGTGTCCCCCTCTTATCTCCTAAGACATATCGTGTGGATTCACTCTGCACATGCTTAGTTTGGTGTATTTTCTTGGGAGAATGCATGTGATCAGCACGGGCCAATCAGCACTGTCCAGACAGATGTCAGGGGTCTTACATCTTCCTAGAGCAGAATGAAAACTCCTCCTATATGCTTTAACATGTGCTAGGCTGGACACGGATAGAAGTCAGAAGACTGCTCTAACTGCTGATGAGAAAAGGTATTTAGCAGTTTATAGTTAGTAAAATAATGGCATGCCCATGCTCTGTGTACTGTGGGAGACCAGATATAGTGAATGCAGGGTCCTGGGTTTAGTAACACGTTAAGGCGAATACCTCTCAGAATATGATCTCTCTCGCAATCTATGCCCAAGATGTCAGAGAACCACACAGGTACACTATGGCCAGGGGCGGACTGACCATTTGGAAACTCGGGCACTGCCCGAGGGCCCGGGGTCAGTAGGAGGCCGTATGAGATGCCCCTGGTACCTTTTTCATAGGCTTTTTTTAGTTTGGGGGCCTCATGATCCCCTATTGCCTGGGGGCCCCATGAGTTGTCAGTCCGCCCCTTACTGTGGCATATCCTTTGGAAAATATCCAGGCATACTGGAAACAAGTGGTTCAATTTTTGCATGATAAGATGGAGTCACCCACGGACATTCAGAACGTAAAGGCCAAGTTCACCTTTTGCATCAAGTAATACCAACAAAGAGGTGCAAATGCATCAAGTAATACCAGCAAAGAGGTGCAAATGCCTCCACTCCACCCTCACACCCCCTTCTCTCTCTCTGTATGTGTGTATATGTATAAGCACTAGACAACGGCTGTGAATTCCCACAGCCATGATGTCACCCATGGACCAGCAGTTATCTGCATGCCTTTCTCTCCACTGCAGCAGTCACTCACTGACATAGGGGTGCTGGAGCTGCAGAATCATGTGACTGGACCAGACCGGATTAAAAGTAGATATGTACACAGGTCATTTTTATACAGAGAAGGCAGGATAGGTAAGGAGGGTACATTTTTAGGAATTGTTAGGCTACGTTCACACTACGTTCCTGTGTGCAGGCGGCAGAAAGGTGTCTGGGAAGCGTTTTTTACCGCTTCCCAAATGCCTCTGCCAATTCTGCACATGATGCTGTTCTAACGAGAGCGGTAGCGTCACGGCAAAAAGGACGCCTCTTGTCGAGTCAGGAGGCATTGAAGCCTCCTATTCTAGCCTATGGTGCCGCTCTGCAAATGCCCGGCCGGCGTTTGCGGTGCGGTTGCAATGTGGTTGCGGAGTGGTAACACCATTCAAACTTCATTATAGGCGTTTGTGGGTGTTTTTTACCGCTCGGCAAACGCTTAGCAACCGCCGCTAAACCGCGCATGCGGAGCGTTAAAAAACTACTCCGCAAACGCCAGACCAACGCTTGCCAAATGCTATAGGGGCGTTTGGCAAGCGTTGGTAAAACAGCCAAGTGTGAATGAGCCCTTATAGTTAGGCTTTTCTTCCACTTTGAAATCTTTAGCAGTGCTGCTTTAAGTTAGCTAAAGGTTTTGCAAATGGTTTGTATAAGCTTGCTCTAAATGCTGCTGAACACCAGCTGGAGCCTGTGTGAAAAATCTTTTCTGAAAGAAAATTGGAGGCTGCATTGCTAACCTCCTACTACAGATGCAAGTTACCTGTCTATTACACGGTCTTCACTACTTTGAGTCACTGACCCAGAAACAGGTATGCAGATCAGGGAGTCAGAAGCCCTTATCTGCATAATTGATTCAGGTCAATGACTTAAAAGTATTTAAACAACAGGGTCAGTATGACAGCTATGCCACTAGCATTTCCAGAATGATAAGTCAAGAAAGCCTTCATATTTCTCTCAGGAATGGTTTTTGTCAGTATGAAAGGTGATTTCTGCAACTTCCAATATTACAACAATATTAAGCATTGTTTAATTACAGTTAGGCCTCATTTACATTGCTGCTCATAAACGTGAGTTCAAGAGCTCAATTCATTAAAAACCTATGTGTCCATTCACACATGACATTTATCACACAGCAGCAGGGGTTAAGGCCAGTTAAACATCCCTCTCCTGAATGTAGAAGAATTGCTTTTAGGAGAGGAAAGTTTGGGCCAAAATACACTAAATGCAGCAAAAACATGTAATAACGCCTACGTGCTAACCGTATTTAGAGCATGGGTGCTTATTCATTTCAATGGCAGATGCACTGGCCAATGAAATTAATAAATGTCCAAGTGCTAAACGCGGTACCTCGTTTACACGCATTTTTGCCGTGTTTAGTGTTTTTCTAGAAAAATGTTCCAGTGTACGTGGAGCCTTCAAATCAGTTGGCTAACAAAAAACTTTAATATTCAGCATCAACAGATCTACATATACATTGGGCATTTTTGGTGGTATAGTAAGAATGTCACACCAGTAATTCAAAACTATATAGAAGAATAACATTTTTTTTTTTTTAATTTACCTATGTGCTCTAAATGTGTAAATTGGCTCTACATCAAGAGATGCGCTCCTAAAAAAGAAGAGAAGAAAATTAAATACCAGAAGTAAATAAAAGTGAGGCTATGTGCAAAGAGTCAATACAATCACTAAGTCACAAAAAAGCAAAATACGACAAGACTTTCACTTAAAGTGGTAATAAACTCTTCTCTAATAATTTATCTACAGGTAAGCTTATAAGAAAGCTTACCTGTATGTAAAATTAATATCTCCTAAAATGTGCACCATTTAAGAGATATTGTCCCTTTTTGATGGACGGCGCATGTGCTCTGAAGGAATGGCATACCCGTGCCATTCCTTCAGAGCACTGTGCCATGGCTTGGGACTCACACGTGCATGAGAGTGACATCATTGTGGCTCAGCAGAGCTCATGAGCCCAGAAAGAAGACCAGGTGAAGATGGAAGCCCCGGGTAGCCGTGACAGCGCTCCACTGGAGAGCTTTGTTTCAAGGTAAGTCCTTCATATTGTGCTAGTATATGCAATGCATACTAGCACATTATGCCTTTACCTTGCAGGGTTTTTTGTTTTTATTTTTAATGCGGTCTACTATCCCCGTGTTCAATAGAGTAAAGGAGGGTTATGACGCCAGTCATTTGTTTGTTTGTTTTTCGTCATCTGTTTTCCATCATGATTTCCCTTCACTTCCTCTCTGGTAGCCAAAACAGGAAGTGAGAGGAAATCCCTCAAAAGTGAGGGAATCCCCAGGTGTCACCAGAACTAGTGCCCCCATTGGATTGTTCCCCTCTTACTGTTCTGATATCAACCCAAAGTTTATTTTTTTGTTTTTTTTTACTTTCACTTTGGATGACAATGGTAAACAGGACAAATAGAAAAGGTGAATCTCCCTAAAAGGAACACAGACAGCAATGAAAACCTGTCAAGCTCTAATCCCTCTCTGCTTTATGTGAAAGGATGATGAAGAAAATACCTTTAATGACACTAAGGATCCATTTGCACCAGCCGCTGCTTTGCAATACAGGGCTGGTGTGTACTGCATTCTGGCTAGGCCAGCATAGCATTCATATGCTGATACCAGCGTATCACACAATTCCCCCCCTTTTTTTAAGCAAACTTTATTGATATGTTACACAGTGACATTTCATAGAGTTCAATCGGAAGGCGTGACCTGCACGGAGTTGGAAAAAAAGTACTGCACGCAGCACTTTTTTCAGTAAACACTGCCTGCTCACCACCCCCCAACACAGTGGTGTGAACCAGAGACAAGGCATTTTGCCTTGCGATGGGATGCGGTGGAACTGCACTGGAATATCCCACTGCCGTCCCACCGCACCTGGTGTGAATGGACCCCTAGATCAACCTTATCAATACTGAACACATTTAAGGTATATGCACATGTATTAAAATATAACCATTTACACTTTAGCTTTCTGCTAGGAGCTGGCAGAAAAATCCAGTGCAAAAAAATTCTCAACCTGGTGCGTAGTAACACACATTTATGCACGTTCATGTGCGTAAGGCGTGTGTGTAATTTCATGCAACTGGCAAAGATATTCATTTGTTCTAGTCACTAGCCTGAAATTAAGTGAATATGCCTTAATTATGGCAGTACGCTTCTCTCCAAATGCAGGCTTGGGGTAGTTTTTCATGTCCCTATACGCCGTCTAAAATACAAATATAAAACACTACAACGTTCATGAACACATTGACTAATACGGAGCTGTGTTTAGAGGCATAAAGAAAGAAAATGCTTCTAAAAGCTGCATTTTTGTCTGCCCATGTGCATGAAGCCATAGCATGACTTCTAATTGTAATCTACATTAACATCCATTAAGGCTGCTTTGGTCAATTATACATTATTGAGTCTATTTTACTACAGTGACAGTTCCAGATCATACAGATTCATCTACTCCTACTGATAAAACAAAGGCTCAATGAAGGTAAAACTTGATGGAAAAGAGATGACAAAAGTAAAAAACAACCACCCTTAAATAAATGGTAAGAGAAATTCTGAGGCAAAAATAAAGATATATAAATAGTGGCAGAAAAAAAAAAATCACTAAGCATGACTAATAAAATCCTAAAGGAGTGGAACATCTATTACATCTGAATCTGCACATTGAAAATAAAAATTAATAGATAAACCATGTTCAAAAACTGACAGTTTGTCCACTATCTGTAGGATACCTTGGGCCAGTCACATAGTCCACACTATCAGCTTTATATTAGTTAAAACCACAACTCAGAACTAAACATAGTTGGGGATAAAGGTTTCACTTGATCACCAGATGCAATGTTAAGAAAAACAAAAAAAAGCAAAATACACATACTTTTTTGCTGGGGCAGTCTTTTGTAGATTCCACATTTTTAATGTATGATCTTCTGATGCTGTTATCAAAACAGGCTCTGTTGGGTGGAATGCAAGGCCACGAATTCCATCAAAATGACTTCTAAGAGTGAATTTGGGATTCCATGTTTTTCTAAGGGCATCTTTATTGTTTGCAACCTGTTAAAGAAAAAAAAAAGGTAACATATTACCGACTCTAAGGACCTATTCACACTTAAGCACTGCAGTTACCACATGAACCACAGTGCGGGGCCATTCTTTAGGAAATGCACCTTGCTGCATTGTTACTGTAGTGAGCAACCAACCCAAAACCCAGCCCACCACAACACATAAGCCATGCGCTGCACTCTGGAAAAAAAAATGGCCAGGTTCATTTTTAAATATATATAGGTTCACTGCTAGCCAAATTCATTTTATAATTTTAAACAAGCACACTAAATGAAAAATAAATATTTGCATGACCTACAGTTTAGAGAGTAATATACCATGGAACTTACATCATATGTCATGGAGTCTGCCTCATTGGCTACTGTAAGTCCTGCCAATTCTCCTAAACCCAGTTCATTTTCTAATGCTTCATCAGGTCCCATTATAAAAGATTTTCCAGATGATGGTGGAAATGTTAATGCTTCAACTAGACAAAAGAGGGAAAAAAAACAGATATTCAGATTCACCATGGTTTTATTTAGTGTATGTATATATTTTGGGTCAAGAAAAGGCCTTCTTTAATCACTTCAATTCCGGGCACTTATAAATCCCCTTCCTGCCCAGGCCAATTTTCAGGTTTCAGCGCTTTCACACTTTGAATGACAATTGCACGGTCATGCAACACTGGACCCAAACTAAATTTGTATCCTTTTATTCACACAACTAGAGCTTTCTTTTGGTGGTATTTAATCACCACTGGGGTTCTTATTTTTTGCTAAATAAAAAAAAATTCAACACGTTTTTCTTTGTTTCTGTTATAAAAGTTTGCAAGTAAATCTTCAGAAATTTAGGCCAAGATATATTCTGCTATATTTCTTTGGTGAAAATAACCCAAATCAGTATTTATTTAGTCTGTAGTAAAGTTATAGAGTTCACAAACTGTGGGATATATCTGAAAATTGATCAATCCTGAAGTACTGATGGCCAATCTAATTTCTTGAGGTCCAAGAATATCAGAACAGTCCAGATATCCTCCAAATGACCCCTTTTTGCAAAGTAGACAGTCCAACGTATTTCATAAGAGGCATGGCGAGTTTTTTGAAGTTGTAATTTTTTGTCATAATTTTTCGGAAAATGAAGAAATTAAAAACATTTTCACTGATAATTGATAATTTTTCTTCAATTTTTATTACATTTTTTTCTTTTTTCATATTACACTATGACCAAAGTAGTATCATTTTACCATAGTAACATTGTACTATTTTGGGGAAGTGATCAGTATTTTTTGTTTTACACAATTTGATTGCTTATAGCAAAGAATTTCTTGATGTGATCACTTTGACCATTCACAGCTAGATACACTTGTATACAATGGATGGCATGAAAGGAAGCCATCCACTGTTTACAACGGTCAAGTGACCTGCTGTGATTGGTCACAGCAGGTCACACGGTACTGGCAACGGGACTGGTACACAGATCTGTCAAAGACCTGTGATAGATTTCGCCACAGCACGGCACTGAGGGCACACGCAAGGCGCGATCAGGGAAGGATGTCATATGACGTCCTTCCAGAGGGACGAAAGGCTCGCCCGGCTGTCATTTTACTATGGGCCGGGCAGGACGTGGTTAAGCAGACCTTATACTAAAACGTTAGGTCTACTTATTACATAGAGCTCCATATTATACCTAACAAAAAAAAAAAAAAAAAAAAAAAGAAGAAGAATAGGAAGAAAAATTACGCACAAGGAGCGATCGTTTGATTTTCATATAGTGTGTACACAACTTTCAAACACCTGATTCAGACTTTCCAAACAAAAATTTCCTAAGGCACAAATTCCAAAATTGTTCTCGTACATGAGCAGAACAAACAACTTTCATTTAATGTGTACTGTTTTCATACTAGAAAACTTGGATACAAAAGACTACGCATGATCAGCAACAATCTGTGCTACAATGTTTCATTGTCAAAAAAAAAAAAAAACCTATCATTTGAGAAATTTTGTACAATTAGTACCATCCTTGGGTTTGACCTGCTGTGAAACAGAGAAAAAATGGCCGATCATTCACCCAATTTTCTCATAGTGTGGACCCAGCTTTATACCTGGCTTCTGCCATGAGACCCAAGCAAGGGTGAGTAACTAGATAAGACTATCATGCACTGTTCTAGATTTGAGATCTTCAGCATTCTCAAGACGGTTACAGTTTGGTAGACACATTGATACATGAAGTTCAACAAATGCTGCTGTGCAATAGAGAGCATGACCATTTATGTATCAGTACATTAAAGTGGTTGTAAGGGCAGAAGGTTTTTGTTTACCTTAAAGTGTAATTAAACCCACATTATAAAAACTAACAATAAATGCAAATGTAGTACATGCTGTTGACATTCATTATGGGATTCGTCTTCTGTATACTGCAAAAAAAAACCTTGTTGATCCTGCTGTTCTCTTATCTCCCCCTTCAGTTAATGTCCCCAATGCAGTTGGGGATTTTGCAGAGTAGTGTTGGCAGTTACTGCACATGCTCATTTGTCAACGAGTTTCTATGCTTCGTATTTCTTCCCTATCACATCTAAGCAGCCCATGTGACTATAGTCAAATCTGGGTGTATACAGTCTGGATAAATGACAGCCCACTCCCTCCCTCCTCCATAACCAGTCAAACACAATGGAATGGGTTACTGCATCTTGATTGATGGAGGCTTTACCCCCCTGTTATTATCTCCACCCACACTATGTTATTGCCAAAAAAACAATAGATTGGGGTGTGTGTATATATATATATATATATATATATATATATATATATATATATATATATATATATACAATACACATACAGTCAGGTCCATAAATATTGGGACATTGACACAATTCTAACATTTTGGCTCTATACACCACCACAATAGATTTGAAATGAAACAAACAAGATGTGCTTTAACTGCAGACTGTCAGCTTTAATTTGAGGGTATTTACATTCAAATCAGGTGAACGGTGTAGGAATTACAACAGTTTGCATATGTGCCTCCCACTTGTTAAGGAACCAAAAGTAATGGGACAGAATAATAATCATAAATCAAACTTTCACTTTTTAATATTTGGTTGCAAATCCTTTGCAGTCAATTACAGCCTGAAGTCTGGAACACATAGACATCACCAGATGCTGGGTTTCATCCCTGGTGATGCTCTGCCAGGCCTCTACTGCAACTGTCTTCAGTTCCTGCTTGTTCTTGGGGCATTTTCCTTCAGTTTTGTCTTCAGCAAGTGAAATGCATGCTCAATCGCATTCAGGTCAGGTGATTGACTTGGCCGTTGCATAACATTCCACTTCTTTCCCTTAAAAAACTCTTTGGTTGCTTTTGCAGTATGCTTTGGGTCATTGTCCATCTGTACTGTGAAGCGGTATCCAATGAGTTCTGAAGCATTTGGCTGAATATGAGCAGATAATATTGCCCGAAACACTTCAGAATTCATCCTGCTGCTTTTGTCAGCAGTCACATCATCAATAAATACAAGAGAACCAGTTCCATTGGCAGCCATACATGCCCACGCCATGACACTACCACCACCATGCTTCACTGATGAGGTGGTATGCTTAGGATCATGAGCAGTTCCTTTCCTTCTCCATACTCTTCCCTTCCCATCACTCTGGTACAAGTTGATCTCGGTCTGATCTGTCCATAGGATGTTGTTCCAGAACTGTGAAGGCTTTTTTAGATGTCGTTTGGCAAACTCTAATCTGGCCTTCCTGTTTTTGAGGCTCACCAATGGTTTACATCTTGTGGTGAACTCTCTGTATTCACTCTGGTGAAGTCTTCTCTTGATTGTTGACTTTGACACACATACACCTACCTCCTGGAGAGTGTTCTTGATCTGGCCAACTGTTGTGAAGGGTGTTTTCTTCACCAGGGAAAGAATTCTTCGGTCATCCACCACAGTTGTTTTCTGTGGTCTTCTGGGTCTTTTGGTGTTGCTGAGCTCACCGGTGCGTTCCTTCTTTTTAAGGATGTTCCAAACAGTTGTTTTGACCACGCCTAATGTTTTTGCTATCTCTTTGATGGGTTTGTTTTGTTTTTTGCCTACTGATGGCTTCTTCACTGATCGTGACAGCTCTTTGGATCTCATCTTGATTCCAAATGCAAATAGCACACTTGAAATGAACTCTGGACCTTTTATCTGCTCATTGTAATTGGGATAATGAGGGAATAACACACACCAGGCCATGGAACAGCTGAGAAGCCAATTGTCCCATTACTTTTGGTCCCTTAACAAGTGGGAGGCACATATGCAAACTGTTGTAATTCCTACACCGTTCACCTGATTTGGATGTAAATACCCTCAAATTAAAGCTGACAGTCTGCAGTTAAAGCACATCTTGTTCGTTTCATTTCAAATCCATTGTGGTGGTGTATAGAGCCAAAAATGTTAGAATTGTGTCAATGTCCCAATATTTATGGACCTGACTGTATGTATGTATGTATATATGTATGTATGTATTGCAATTTAAAAAATTGTATTGATAATTTTACTCTGCATTTCAAAGGCTGTTTTTTCCCCATTTGGAATATGTGACCAGCAGCAGAGGAGTAGAACCTCCTTCTGCTTGTTTTCCTTCAGACAGGCTGGGAAAGAGCTGGGTCAAGTGACAGCTGTATATAGATTAGGAAAGAGGTACTTTTTTTTTTATTAAAATAATTACAGTGCCATCATCCACATACAGAAAGAGAAGGGGTAATGTACATTAAAAACAGTGTGTTTAGTATCACTTTAATGCATTCTCTGCATTAAGCTAAAAAAACCTTCTGTGTTCTGCTTCACACCAGCTCCCCGATGTACTTTCCTGAGGCCGATCTCGATCAAGCGCTGTGCCCAAGAGCAGCAGTACTCTCCTCACTGGACATAGAGACTGCAGCAGGGGCCATTGGCTTCTGCAACTATCTGTGAGGAGAGAGCAGGGGGCCCAAGAAGAGGAGGGTCGGGGCTACTCTGTGCAAAATCACATTCGTAGGTAAGTACGACAACGTTTGTTATTTTAAAAAAAAATTTCATTACATTTTTAGGGAGTCAAGTGCAGGCACAGCAACGTACATGTACATTGCCAGCCTTTGTTAGGGTTTGGGTCGAGCATTTGAGCTTGCCCCCTGCTGTGATTGGACACACCATGAGTTTGTCGACAGGTTTTAGCCACTGATTGTGGCTGAAACCTGCTGATAGGCTGTGTCCAATCAAAGAACAGCGATCTGGCCGTTTCTTCTTCCTAAAAATCAGCCATAACATTATGACATCCCACAATAACTTGTTGTGGCATGGACTTTACTAGACATCCAAGTGTATGCGGGGGTATATGGTACCAAAACGTCAGTAGCAGATCCTTTAAAGCAGGACTTCACCCAAAAGGGGAAGTTCCACTTGTCTACATGGGTCAGCCTTTGCTCCTCAGATTTCTTGTTTTCCTTTCTTAGACCACTTTGGTAGGTCCTGACCACTGC